AGAGGGGTCTAACTTCTTTGTTGTCTCCCACCTCAGGACCTTGGCAGCTACAATTGTCTGCATCGAGAACGATCTGCTCTGAGCTCTAAACCTTTGGATTTCCTCAGAGAAGCTTCCTGGGCTACACCGAGTAAAGCAGCCCCTTCCTCTTCCCCCACCTCCAGTTATCTTTCTTCATGTCCCACTGTTTGTTTCCTTCACAGCACTTTAACACAATCTGTAATTATCTCATTTGTTTGTTTGTTTATTGTCTGTCTTCGCCACTGGAATGTGAGCTCCAAGGAGTAGGGACCTTGCCTGTCTTAACTCAGTGCCCTGGGCCAGAACCTGGCACAGCGCCTGCCATGTTGTAGGTGTTCAATAAAAGAGTAGACAAAGGATTTCATGGAAGCCTCACAATAATCCTCTGTGATGGCAAACACCATTATCCCCATTTTACAGATGAAGAAATCAAGGCTCAGTCACCTGCCCAAGGTCATACCACTAGGTCTCTCTGAATCCAGGTGTGATGGAGGAGGTGGGGACCTCCCCTAAACACCTGTTCCTTTTCCTGTCTGTATGTACACTCCCAACCCAGGCATCTGGGGCAGAGAAGGGAGCAGGACAATTGCGATCTGTAATGAATGTAAATAAAACCTTGACTTAGTCCTTCAATGGATCCTTTCCTTGAATCCAAGTTCCTTAGGTGCACCAGCGAGCCCCCATAGTTCTGGCCGCTACCTTCCTCTCCAACTTTTCCTGCTCTCTTCACCTTCTCCTCCTTCACTCCAGGCCCTGGTGCAGATGATTCCCTCAGTCTGCAAAGCTGACTCCTTTCTCAGTGGGCCAGTCTCCATCTGCCCTTCTGGACTCAGCTCTGGCACCACCCCTTTCAGAAAGCCTCTGGACTCCTGAGGGAGCAGGGCGATATCTCCTTCAGCTCAGGGCAGGGCTGAACACATTGTTTACCAGTCTGCCTTTCCCATAGAAACCGTGTGTCATTCTTGAGGTGTCCCAGTACCTTGTGCTGGGAAGGCACAAGGGAGGGACTCTGGAAATGGTTGTAGAATGAGTGAACCAAGCAGGGCCAAGATTCTAGCACCCAACTCCCATGACCTATGACATCTTTTTCAGGGCTTGGCCTTAACAGGAGTTCTTCACCTCCATTTTCTGGCCAAGTCAGGGTGGGAATATGTGGGGCCCTCTGGCTGATTCAGTGCCAGATTCAGGAGGTGAGGCCCCAAGGTTATGGGCTGGTCACCCACCCCAGTTATAGAGGCAGGGTTTGTGATTCTGTAACTGGAGGTTTGGTGGGGGGCAAGGGGTTGCACACTGAGGTAGCAACCTACCTGATCCCTTATGGATTTAGAGACTGCCAGAGAGACCTTTGCCTTTCCTTTCTCTCTCCCTGCCCCCCTCCCCTAAAGCCTTTCTCAGGGTGCCCCAGATCAGGCCAGATCTGAGTGGTTTCTTCTTGATTGCCCCACCCCACTCCTTCCAGATCAACCGCCAGCCTCCTCCGAATGCAGCAAGGGGACCTGGGTTGGGGCTAGAGTGGGTGCCAGGCGCGGTGATACCCGTCGTACAGGGAAGAATAAGAAGGGGGCACTTGCGACCCCCTCGCTCTCCCCCCATCCTCGCTCTATCCGGGTTTACAAGGAAGCTCATCCAGGATTAGTCTCTACACTCGGCTAATCCCAGCTGCTGAACCGACCGCGGGGTCCGAGTGCCCGGGAGCTTGGGCCGCGCTCCGTGGGTGGGGGAGGGGGCACGAGCCGGCTGTAGCGCCCGCGGGAGGAGGGGCGCCCCGGGAGGCGGGGCCGGGAAACCGGCTGATCCGGTCTCTGTTCTTCAACTTCTCCGGAACCGATGTTTACCCGGGAGCCGGACGGAGGCGCCCGGGCCGCTCGGGCCGGGAAGCTGGGGCGGGGGTTCAAGGCTGGGGGGGTGGGGGTGGGGTGGGGGTGGGGGCGGAGAAGACTCGATCGGAGATGGGGACTGAGACCTTTTTGGGTCCCTTAAATCGACTTCCAACCCTCATTCCTGGGCGTGGGAGGGAGCGACAGACAGACAGATGTCTCCCGCCCCTTCTCCCACCCAGTTCCGCAATTCATACTGGTTGCCAAGTGAGCGGGGAGCAGGGATGGATACACACAGGCGGCACAGGCAAACCTCTCCTGCGCCGCACCCACCCCAAGCTCTGGGTGGGGATGCGCTGCCAGGAGTGGGTCGGGCGCAGCGGATAAGGTTGGGGGGGGGGGCTTTGAGGTGTGCTAAGGAGATGTCTGTCCTCAGTCTTCGTCTTCTTGCCTCCTCCCCGCGTGACACCCATTAATCTCAGTGCGGGTCTCCATCCCGCTAGCGCCGACCCGGTCCCTTTGGCCTCCTCCGAAGTCTTTGCTGTGGACTTAGTTCCCCCGGTCCCGGGGACGCAGGCCCGAGGGCCAGGAAGAAGCGAAGTGGGTCCGGTTTTCACACTTTTATTGTAAAGCTCGGGAATAATTACACGGGTCTTTCATTGACAGCTCAGCAAACAAACCGGAAACGAACCGAACCGGAGAGGAGAGGGGCGGTGCCTGCGCATGCTCGCGGCGGGGCGGGGGTGTCAGGGAAAGAGAAAGACAGAAAGAGACAGAAATCATTACAAATCAACGGGATTGTGCTCGCAGCGCCGGGGATGGGGTGGAGTGGGGGCGGGGTGGGGGCCCTTCCCGGGAGGAGCGAGGCGGTGGGAAGTGGCACGAACCAAGAGAAACACGACCCCAGTGTGGGCACCCGACGTGCCCGAACCCTCCCTCCCCAACCCCACCCCCCAACACACGAGAGAGACACGGCCCCCCTCCCCACTCAGATAACCCGAGGAGACACAGTCTCCCGGCTCCCCAGGGGCAGGCACACCTGCCCAGGAAACCCTTGGGTGAGACACAGTCCCCCCATCCCAGAGAAGTCCCGCATGGAGACGCCCCCTAAGAGACTTTCTCGTGGCTAACACAAGCCCTCCCAACACCAGGAGACAGCCCCCACCCAAGGAAGAAATGGCTCCAGAGGCCGGGCTCTCAGGAGAGATAGAGAGGTATCCCAGGGCCCCTAGGAGAAAAGACAACTCAGAGTTGCCCAGTCTCATCCCAAAGTGCTGCAGGTCAGAGACACCCCCCAGAGGAGATATGGGAGGGGGGCGGGCCAGAAACATCCCTTCCCAGACATGCTTCAGAGATATCCCCCTTCCCTGGGAAGAGGGATGGCCCAAGACTGACATGCCTTAAGTACTCCCAGGAACCCTGGGAAGAAAACAGGCTCCCCAGAGAGCCTGGGTGTGTGTGGGGGGGAGACATGCTCTAAAAGTCCCCAGTGGGAATACATGTCCCCCCAAAACTCCCAAGGGGAGAGATAGGGCCTAGGAAGACCCCAGAGGTGAGGGATGCCCCAGAGATCCTCCCCCCAGGATGTGAGACACTTTAGGGACCCTAGGAGAGAAATTTGTCCCCATATACCCTCCCCTACCAAGAGACATGCTCTGAAGTACAGGGGTGGGGACCGACTAGGTCCCCGCTAGGAAGACACTGACTGGGTCAGGCTGGGGTTGGGAGGGGGGGTGTCTCCTCTGGCCAAATGTCGCCTATTTGTACATAAAACTGTACGCGACACAAGGCATTGGGGAAGGGCTTTACAGACCTAGGACCAATGGGGTGGTCCCCAGTGCTGCCACCCATCCCCTGCCCACCTTTGGTTTCACCTCTCGAGTGCCCAGGTGGTGACAGACTCAGTATCCTGACCCCAACCAGGGGGCTGGGAACTCTGCCTTCACCCATGGGAAGGGCTCCTCCTCTGTGCTTCTCAGCCCTCCCAAGCCATCTGGGCGACCCCCTTCCTTCTGGCTTCTCCATTGTGCAAAATGCTCCTCCGCCCTTCCACTCAGTGCTCAAGGGTCTCCAAGACCAGGGCAGGGTGCCCAGGCCACCAGGGGCTTCCAGGAGGAGTCCACTGACCCCAGGAATGCCTCCTGTCGGGACCACTGTCTCCACCAAGCAAACGACCTCATACAATCTTCTTGCCAGAATCCTGACCTCCAGGACCCAGGACAGCCCTCGAGGCCACTGCCCCACGGGTTGGGCACCTCATGTTACCAACACCACCACTATTGCACCTGCCCCGTTTGTGCAGGGGGTAAGGGCTGTCTCTTTAACTAGCCCCAGCCCACTTCTGGGCTTCCCCCAGGGAAAGGAGCCTTTGGCCAAACCTTAGACGTGGTTGCTGCCACCCCAGCCCATTCTGCCCCCCTACCCTCCATGGAAGGGCTGTGTATGCTGGGGTCACCTGCCCAACAATGTTCTCCTTCCCAGCACTGTTACCCCAGGCCAACTTAGGGTGAGGAGCAGAGAATAGGATGATTCTTCAGTCCCCTGGCTTTTCTGGGGTGGAGGTGGGGTCTCTGGGGTTACAGGAGTCAAGACCCCAGTAGCACAGCCCCCAAAGGCACCAGACGACCCAGCAGCCGGTAGCCACCCCTCCCACACTTGGGCCACCCCCCAAGCTTAGACTAAGTCAAGCAAGGGCCATACCCTGAGTCTCCAGCCTCCCAGCCTGGGCCCCTGGGGAGCTGGAGAGGTATGGGCCAAGGCAGTGGGGGTTTCTGGAGGGACTGAGGCTTTGAGATGGCCACAGTGGGAGATGGGAGCTCTGCAGGATGCCCCTCACACCCTTGGCCCCCCGAGGTGAAGAAAGAAATCCCACCTCATCATGGCTGACTGGGCTTCTCTGCTCCCCAATCCTCCCTCCCCCACAGGACCCTTGACCCTGGCAAAGGGAAGCCCAACTGGAAGAAGGGGGCCTGGAGCCCAGGGCGCCCTGAGGCAGCCCTTCCCACCCCCTGAGATCAAGGCAATGGTGGTTTTACAGGCTGAAGGGTCAGTCATGGCAGGGGCTGGGGGTGGGGGGCAGGGAGGGGGCAGGGTGCAGGTCCCCCAATTGGGGGCAGCAACCAGCCACCCCCTGACCAAACCTTCCTGCTCCCAACCCACCCAACCAGGCCAGAGGCACAGTCATCCCACCCCTGTCCAGCTGCCCCCCACAGCCTCAGGGCCCCTCTGTGATGCTCATCTGGATGTGGGAGGGCCAGCCTGAGCGGGGATCCCCCCCAGGGCACAGCGCAACAGTTCCAAAAAAATAGAGATTTGTATTTTTAAAAAAAATTAAATAAAAGCCCAGCTCTGCTGATAGGCGAATGTTACCCCTATCCCACCCCCACCCACCCGTTGTTTCCCTGGCCTGCACCCCCATCCCACCACGGCCCCAGGGGTATTTACAACACGGAACAATAGAGGCCTGGGTGGGGGGCACTGCGGCAGGGAGGAGGGGGCACAGGGCAGGTCCCCCCCAGGGTCCCCCAAGACAACACAACATCAACAAGAAAAGTTGCAAATCAGGCAGAAATGGGGACATCATTCCAAGGTCCTTATATACAGACACTGCATGACCAGCGGGGAAGGGGGTGCCCAGATGGGACCAGATTTGGGCATGTGGCAGGCAGGTGGGCCAGCCCAGGAGCAGTAGGGAAGACAAAGTCTCCGCCCCACTCCTACCCCCATCCCCACCCCACCTTTGGTAACGAAAGCCCTTCAGGGAGCCCCTGGGGGGGCCAAGGGTTTCCTCTGGGAGTTTCCAGGGAGAGGGGCTCCCCAGTTCAGCCCTGCTTCCAGGCTGGAATGGGGGCATCCTGTCCCAGCCCTGGTCGGCCACGTGGGAAGCAATGAATTAAATGTGTGCTGCCCATCCTTGACTCCACCATTTGCCCAAAGTGAGGGGGTGCTCCCTGGAAGTGGAGGGAAGGGAGCCTAGTCATTGTAGAGGAGCCCTCTTGGGCATCAGCTGGGGGGAGCCCCATAAAGGAAAAGAAGGGGCTCCCTGGGGCTGGGGTTGGGTGGTGAAGAGAGGGGAGGACCTGGACCCTGCATGGGGAAAGGGCCAGCATGGTCGTGAGGCCAGCACTCCCCCCCACTCGGGGTCCTGGCCAGGGAGTCCACGCTGGAGGGGACAGGAGTAGGGGCCCTGGAATGGGCCCATCTGGGAGCTGGCCGGCGGCTGGGGAGGGGGGCCGGCCGGCCAGAAGGGGGCTCACAGGTAGATCTCGCGCTTGGCTGTCTGGGCAGTTGCCGGTGTGGCTGCAGGTGGGAAGTCCGAGGTCTGGGTCAGGGGGATTTCCTCCAAGGTGGCCGAGTCCTTGCAGGAGTCATGGCTACTGTGGGAGAAGGCACTGTAGGAGGGCAGGAGGCGCACGGGGGCCGTTTTGGTGTTCCGGTCTTCCGGGGGGCTGGGGCTGCCGGCGCCCGCAGGCTCCTGCCCTCCTCGGTCCTGGTAAGGCACGAAGGTGGAGAGTTTGAGGGCGCTGCTCTTGGTGCGGCGGCTGGGAGACGACTGGCCGGGCATCCAGCACGTGTCAGAGTGGCCAAACTCACTGCACTCCCGGGTACATGTGCCCGTCATGGCGACATCAGGCAAAGGGCGCAGGTCTGCGGGCAAGAGTGGAGGACAGTGATCAGGCAGGCAGCCTCGCAGAGCTCAGCTCCATGACCTCCCACTGGCACCACACTCTGCCTCAGAGCAGGATCGCGCACCCCTTCCTGCCCGCTGAGCTCACAGGTACACATGCTCCCCAGCCGGCACCACCTCTCACCATCCACTGTGCTCCTCTTCCTCTCTCTCTCTCACATATACACACAACCTATCCTTAAATAGACACATCCTTCCATCCTCACCCACCCTCCAGCTCTCCTCTCACACACCTACCAAATGTGCCCTCAGACAGGTGCACAAACACACAGCTCATCTCTACACTCTTTTACCTGGCTCCAGACAGGCTTAAACATGAAAGCCTCCCCTCTGACAGGGGCGAGGAAACCCCTGTCCTCATTTAAGGACTTACACACACACACACACACACACACACACACACACACACACACACACCCCTATGCTTCAAAAAGGCATGGACACACAAATCTACACAGGGCACCTCCATTTTCAGACAGGCGGGCACGTACCTTCCTTGAGAATCCCCGCAACCACCAGGCTTGAGGCTGTCCTGGAACCCTGCCACCACCCCCCACTGCCACAGTCCATCAAAGCCCTGCTTTACAGCCATAGGGAGGGGACTCACACTTTAGACACCCACACTCCCACAAGCACACTCATGCAGCCCCTTCCCACCTCACGCCAGCCCCCTACACCAACCACCACCCCTGGCCTTAACCCTGCTCCCTGCCCAGAACACCCACGGGAACAGGAGTTGGCCGCCTGACATCAGCAGTAGCCGGTGTGGTTGCTGGGCAGCAGGGGTATCCATGGGAACGGCTGGGCCATGAGCACTTCCTGTCACATTTGCCCCTGTCCCGCCCTCACTTGGGGACAGTACCAGACGGTGACCCCCCTCAGGGACATGACTGGTGTTTGGAGGCTCCCCTGGCACCACCCATCCTGGCTTGGCCTCCTGCCAGGGCCAGATGAGGAGGGGTCAGTTCTGTTCTTAGCCTGCAACCTGCCAGCCCTCTTCTGCTCAGAGCAGAATTGGGGGACCCAATGTGGCACGGAGCAGAGCACAGGCACCGGGTGGGCGGGGCTGGGTGCTGGGCCGAGTCCCACAGACCCCAGACCCCAGAGCAGCTCCCACATACCTGGCACTCCACCTCAGGGCCTGCTCCGGCCAGCCGGCTCTGCGCGGGCACAAAAAGGACGAGACGGGCATGAGATCGCGAATGGAGGCGCAGGGTGGGGTGCAGGGCACCTGAGATTTAGGGCCTGGGAGCTTAGGCAAGGGCTCTATGCCCAAGGGGTAGGGGTGTGGAACTTTTCATCTTTTAGGGGACTTGTGGGTGCTTGGACTGCAGGAGGGCGTGAGACCCAAAGAGAGCTTCAAGTTGGGGGGAGGGTCTTTCGATCCCAAGGGGAAGTTTATTCAGTCTGCCCCTCCACAGGCCACCTTGGACCCTTCACACACACGCATTACACACACATTCTGACAACACACACTACCATCTACTCCCAAGTGACCTCTGCTGCAGCCCACAGATCCCTCTCATTGCCCACTAAATCATTGCCCTCCTAGACCCGCCTTTCCTCACCCTAGACCTTCTCCCCCTCAGCCAAGCCCTCTCCTGCCTCTCCCACAGGGGGCCATCATACCCTTCTCTGAACTCCTCATAGCATCCCAGGTCTTCCTTCCTTTTCTCAAGCCCCTCTGACCCGTTAAGGGACCCTCATTACCTCAAGGTTTCATCAAGGTCCCCTTCCCACTACCTGAACCCTCTGGCCCCCCTTCTTGGGGGTCCCGTTCCTAGGAAGCAGTGTAATGTAGTGCTTGGGTTTGAACTGTCATTTCCTCAATGTGATTCTGGGCAAATGACCTCAGTTTCCTCCACTGTAAATTGGGCACAAAAAAGTTCTCAGATCAGAGTGGTGGTGAGGATGACGTAACCGTGTACTGGAGACACTCAACGCAATGATTACTGCTGAACACACGAGTCCAAGAGTATGGAGGCTATGTCACCATTCTCAGGCTTCCCCTCATTCTCGGGGTGCCCTCACCGTTCTCGGGGTGCTCCATCTCTCCTATGCTGCCGTCGGGGGTGGTGCGCTCATAATGATCCTCAGGCAGAGCCAGGGGACCAAGTCTGGGCCCCGAGGATGACTTGCTGGATGGTGTCTCTGATTCCTCCAGGCCGCTATCGTAGTAGCTATGCTGGGATGGGTCCTGCAGCTCCTGGGCCTGGCTGGTGGCGGAGAAGGTGACTCGGCGGTGAGGTAACTGCAGGGAAAGGGAATGTCACTGTGGGTTGGCCACCCTGCCCGGCAGGGCCTGCACCATAGTAGGGCTCAGTTCTAGCCAGCCCACCTCCAGAGCACCTACCCCCTGACCCCCTGGGCCTCAGCAGCAACCAAGAAGAGACCCAGTCTCCAGCACAGCATAGCCCCCCAAGAAGCACAGGTGCCTAGCGAGGCCCACTCCTTAATTCTAGAACAGTTCCCTCCCGGTACAGCCAAGACCACACACTGAAAGTCCCAATACAGCAGAGGCCCCAGTGTTACTCTGGTCTCCAGGCCACTACAGCAAGCCTGGTCCAGTACAACCACTTGTTATAGCACAGCTTCCCAGTACTGGCACAGCCTCCCCTTAATTCCAGGACAGCCAACACCAGAATAGCACGTCAGCAGCCAACAACCCTAATTCCAGCGGAGCCTCCAAACACCAGCAAGCTTCCAATATCTCCAACAGTTCCGGAAAAGCAGTACAGACCCCTCATTCCGAAACAGCTCACCAGCACCAGAACAGTCCCCTAGTTTCCAAACAGCACACCCCCCAACTCCTAGATTCCATCTCACCTGTCTCATTGCTCTGTAACTTCCCATTTCCTCCATCCAAACGAGATGCCAACCTCTTTCTGATCCTCTTTTCCTCACCCCTGGGTTGTACTGTAGAGGCAGCCTCGGGAAGCCCTGCTGAGTCCCCTCCCATTTAGCCCCCCTGGCCCCACTGCATTCCCCCAGAGACCTGGTAGAGGTGGAGGGAGAAGGAAAGTCAGCCTGCTAACAAGCCAGGGCACCGTGGGGGTGGGGAAGCAGAACAATGGCGACTCTGAGGCCTCCAGATCAGGAAACGGAGAAAAACTATAGAGGGCAAGGCCCTGGAGAACTTGGGCATGGGAGGAGGGGCTTGGCATCCATCAGGGATGAGGAAGGCTGGTCTCAAATGGAGACTCCTTCGAGGAAATCAGGAAATCGGAAAGAGCTTCTGGGAGGGGCAGGCACCTTGATGGAGCCAGGACTTAGAAGCTTAGACTGGGGGCTGGGGTGGGGGCAGTGGAACCACGACAGGCTGTTTCCAGCCAGCAGCCTGACCTGCCTGCCATGGGTTAACGATCATCCCAGAAACCTGGCAACCTCGGCTTGGCACTTGGCACAACCAGCCAGTCACCCAAACACCCACTTGGGACCGCCACTGACTTTCTTGCCAACCTGAAATTAGGAGTTGTGGAGGGCACAGACCCAGGGGCCCTGGAGGCCAGGGGTGGGAGCAGCCCAGGCCCAGGGCCCCGCTGATGAGTCTCCAGGTGCCCTCCAATTCTCTAGGACTTTGGTAGTAGTGCTTTGTCTTTACTAGCCCTAATAAGAGGTTATCAAGATGGTGGGGGGGGGGAGATGGGGTTCACAGACCTACATTCCTGACCCCACACAATCTCATTCCAATCAAGGCTGCTGGGTGGGGAGGCTGTCAGGAAAACAGAACCTCCTACCACCTAGGCTCTCATCCCATCTTCAGGAATGGGCAATCCTTGGGATCCATGTTGTAATCCAAACCACTGAAGGGTCTGGATGATGACAGATAAAGTCCCCCCAATTGACCTGGACGTCTGGGACTGCAGTTGTAAAGAAGCATTGTCCACCTGGCGTCTGAGGGAACAGGCTCCAGTAGGGGTGCTGGGGATAGAGGGCAGTCTGGCGTCGGAGGCTTTGCTTTTCAGTTTTCTTTAAGACTTTAGCTAGTAGCCCCCTCTCCCTGCAGAATCCACACCCACAATCGAAGGCTTCTTTCTGCCCCACCTACTACTAGTCAGGTCTCTTTCTTTGTGATTCTTTTCTGGAAAATGGAGGGTTGGGTTATTTTCAATACTAAACATCCCCTATAATTCTATGACTATCAGATCTTAAGCCAAGATCCAAATCTCTCAAACTTTAGTCCTGAAGTTCTGGATATTTACAGTTGGCTGTTCCTACTGGTCCTTCAGATTCAACATGTCTGAAATGAAATTCTTCGTTTCTTCCATCAGTTCTGCATGGACAATGAACTCATCACTGTCCTATCACCCAGACTCAGGATAGCCTCCAAACACGAGCAAGCTTCCAGTAGCTCTGATATATCAACCTGGGAATGCTGGTAGCTCTCCCTTCAGTCCTCATCTCTACTCCATTTCTAAATGTGTCTTGGCCTCATGGATCTTTTCTCCCTAAGTTTAGCCAAATCCATCCATCCATCCATCACCTCCCCCCCGCCCACCCATGGCCACCATCTTAATTCAGTCCTTAGAGGTTCAGTCCTCTATTTCCACCTCTACCCCCTTTAAGCCTACCCTACATTCCAGTGAACTTTTAAGTATTCAGTTTATCCAAAAATGGGGCTCCCATTTTCTCTTAAGAAACTTTTGGCCAAACATCTGTATCCTCTCTATATAACCAAAGTTCTTCCAGTATCAGCTCTCAGCTCTCCCCTAGGCCCTCTGTTCCAGCCAGACTACTTCTCTCTGCCCATCCCCTGCCTCCAGCTGTCATGGTCATGCTCGATTCTGTCTCAAGAGTTGGCTCCACACGGTGATTCCCCCACCTCCCGCCTAACTCCTGCTCATTGTGAAGAGCTAACTCAAGCTTCACATTCTCCTCCCAGAAGCCCACACCCATGTCCTGTGAATGTTTTGGTTCTCATAAAATGGGAGGGGGGAAATATGGGCAAGGAAACTTTGAAATCCCAGAGTTTCACAAACTTTAACTACTTCTCCCTTTCTTGGAGGTTTCACAGAGCCTTTAACCACCTGATGTGATAGTGCATCTCCTACTACCAAAACTAACTTAATCATGGAACACGTTTTTATAGCATAATGGATAACAGCAGACTCTGGAAATGTGATTTCCCGATGCTTTATGTTGGAATTCTGACTCACCACTAACTAGTTTTCACTTCTGTAAAATGAGCATTGTAATGACCTGTGTCACAAAGAGTTATGAGCATTGAATGATCACGTAAAATGCTTAGCATGGTACGTTGCACCTAGCAAGGACTCAAAAAAAAAAAAAAAAAATGGAAGCGAGTAGTAGCAGAAGCAGTGGAACAAGTTGGGAAAGCTTTCCTATGGCACTTCTCACTAGACACTTAAGATTCTCAATTGCCTCATCGTTTCATCACTTGTATGGCTTGTAAAGTATGACCACTTTTCCTCAGGGTCTACTGCCATGCTCAGCACACAGTAGGAACCGGCCTATGACAACAGTGTTTTGGTTTGGTTGTGTCTAAATGTTGGGAGAAAGCATTCAATGTGATTCCATGGATGGGGTGGATTGCAGCAGCGTAAGGGATAACCCCTCAGACCCTGGGAAGGAAAAAGAAATGAGGGAGCTAAAGGAACAGAAAGAAGAGAGAGGTGGCGGCAAGGATAGAAACAAAAGGAAAAAATGGTTGGTCAGGAGTTGTTAGAGGTTGTAGAGATGATTATTCACCCAAGTGAAATGAGATGAAACCAGATTTCATTTCCCCATGCCTTCAAAGTCCTCAGGAGTTTTTACTTTGGGGGTACCTCCAGGACATCAGGGATTTTGTGGACAGAATTATAGTGAGCTGGCGCCTTGGACCTCCTGGGAGTATCTCAAGCCTCTTCAGTCACCATGGAGACAGGTTGCCTCTGGCCTTAGAGATTCCCCCAGGACCTCAGGCCCCTCACCCAGACTTTAGCCTCCCTCCCCCTCAGGCGCAGCCAGAGACAGGGCATACTCAGGGGAGCAAGAAGTGAGAGAAGGAGAGAGAGAGAGTGAGTGAGTGAGTGAGTGAGTGAGAGCCAGCAGCCCAGGGTAATCAGAGCAAGGAGCTGAAGTAGGGGGCAGGGCAGTACCAGGACACCTTCCCCCCAGTCAGCAGGGAGCACCTAAGAGTGGGTACAAAGCAGGTCAACCCAAAGAACTTGAGCATTCCCTCCCTCTCCCTGGGCCTCCCCACCCAGCAGCCCAGGCTGGTGATCCTGGTGGACACACAGGGGAGGCTAGCTAATTGCTGGGTGTTGAGTGATGGTGAGATGAAGGGGCTGGGAAAGGGACTTGAGAAGATCTTGCCCTGAGGGACACTGACAGGTATAATCAAGAGGTTCTTTTACCTGAGGCAGGCAGGCTGCACTCCATCTCTCCCTAGACTTCCAGCTCCCCAGGTGCTTTAAGTCTATCTGTCAGGGACTGCTGGGTTGGGCAGCTCAGAAAGGTCAAGTCTTAGCCAAGGGAGAATGGGCAGAACTTGGGTATGTCTCCACTTGCCCTTTCCTGGTGAAGAGTGTCATTCCTAGGGAGAAGGCCTCACAAACATGGGTAAGGGTACACGTTGCCTGACAACTGCATTTGAAAGCTGCTGGGAAGGGCACTTTGGACCTGGACAGGAGCGCAGATGTGGCAGGGTCAGTTAAGACCTGGACTAGGTAGAGTGGGTCAGTCTAGGATGTGGGAAGGTGTGGGTAAATTGGGACAGGACCTACGTTTCCAGTCTCTCTCACTCCTTCTCTCAGTTCCAGGAAAATAAGAAACCAAAACTCCAAAAATAGAGAACTTTATTGTCAAGAATAAGTGTTTGGGACTGGGGTAGGGGAGCTGGGGCCCAGCCCCAGGAGCCTGGGGTGGGAAGAGGGTGACACAACACACACAGAAGGCACAAATGAGGACGCCCCTCTCCCTGACAAAGGCCACACCCGGTTCCCCACCAGGAGCCCAGGTCTCCCGGTTTCCCCTCTAGAGAAGCACCCATGGCTGGTCTCAGGCAGTCTACTCCCAGGTTTGGAGTAGACTTCTCCACCTCCCTTCCCACTCTGCCTCCAAACCTCCTCACCCGCCCATCCCCCCCAACCTGCAAGACCCAGCAGCCAGTCCAGTGTCCTGGGATTTCACAAGTCACAGCTCTCTCTCCAATGGGGAGGGGTTGGGGAAGAGGAGACCACAAAGCATACCCGCCCTCAATTTCAATCAGCCTGGATGAGGCAGCAGTGTCATTACCAAGGCCTCGGCACCGCCAGATCTTTGGTCTCACCTCCCACATCTGGCTTGCGTGGGCCCCACGCGAGCTAGTGAGCACGCCAGGTCCTACACACTTGTTGTCACTCCCACACCTCAGTCCAGATCGCCCCGCGATAGGGGTGGGGTGGGGGCTGGGGAGTGCTGAGCCGAAAGGGCTGGCCTACCTGCTTGCTGGGGTATTTGGGGGGGTTGGTGCGGTAGCTGTAGTCGGAGTACTGCTCAGAGCCCGTGGACGTGGTGTCCCCGGTGCCCACGAATGTGTTTGCAGGCGGCAGGTCCTGCACCACCTGGTGCTTCTTGGAGGCCGAGGGTGACTGGGGCTGTAGCTGGATGGAAGGCAGTGGGGAGTTTGAGCGGTAGTGGCGGCCCAGGTCAGGGCTGCCAGGTGGGTAGTTGAGGGGCAGGTGGATGCGGGGGCTGTCCCCAGGGGCATCACTCATCAGGTTGAACTTGAGAGACTTCTGTAGCCCAGCCTCATCTTCATCCTCCACTGGCTTCACAGGCTTTGGGGACTTACTCTTCTTGCCCTTGCTTTTGTTGCCCTTGGAGGCTTTGCTGCTGGGCTTGGGGGCATACAGATCCTTGGTCTCCTTCTTACCAGCCTGGTAGCCACTCTTAGCCTCCCGCTGCCGGCAGTAGCGCACAAGCACTGCCAGGGCAATGAGCAAGGCCACAGCCACCACGCCAGCCACTACGCCAAAGAGGATATTGCCACGCTGCTTGGAGCGTTCATATTCTGGATCCCCGGCAATGTCGATGTCCAGTGGTGTGTCCAGGCTATGGACCAGCAGGGTCTCCAGCAGTGTGAGGTTGGCCAGGGTCTCGTTGACATAAAGGTGGACCAAGGCTGTGCCATAGCGTGGGGGCTTGCCACGGTCACTGACCTTCACCACCAGGCGGTGCAGCCCATGGTGGCGCCGCTCAATTTCCTTCTCGAGGGTGATGGCACCTGAATGTGATCCAATCTGGAACAGTCCATAAGGGTTACCACCAGCAATGCTGTAAGTCAGCTCAGCGTTGACACCAGAGTCAATGTCCTCAGCTGTCACCTGGCTGACCGTCTCACCAAGACGTGTCTGGGGAGTCAGCAGCCGGTGGGAGGTGTTGGAAGGAGCGGTGATGAAGGGTGCATTGTCATTCTCATCCAGCACATTGATGGTGACGCCAACGTAAGCTGAGCGAGGTGGGACACCACCATCCACTGCCTTCAGCTGGAAGGTATAGGTACTTTGCTGCTCCCGATCGAAGCTCAGACTAGAGAGGATGGTGCCCGTGCCATTCTGGATAACAAAGTCACCATTGTCCTGCTCCACTGTGAGCTGCACGCGGGCATTCTCCCCCTTGTCCCCATCAATGACAGTCACCATGCCCACTGGACTCAGCGCCGGCATGTTCTCCATCACTGAGAAATTGTAGCCACTCAGCATAAACTTGGGGTCATTGTCATTGCAGTCTAGCACATTGACGAGGACGGTGGCTGTGCCCTGGAGGCTGGGGCTGCCACGATCAGCTGCCACCACCTTCAATTCATAGCTTTCTCGCTGTTCCCGATCAAGGGATGTCTTCACCCGGATCTCTCCAGTCTCAGGCGAGATGGTGAAGAGGCCCTTGGCAGCCGGCTCTGGCTCCAGAGAGTAAACCAGCTCAGCATTGGAGCCAGAGTCGGCATCACTGGCAGTGACCTCGGCGACCACTTCACCGGGCTTATTGTTTTCTGGGAAGGCAACCTCAGTGATGCTCTGGGTGAAGACAGGTGCATTGTCATTGACGTCCACCACCTGCACCTTGAGAGAGTTGGTGCTTGAGAGTGGGGGGTTGCCAGAATCCACAGCCACAATCTCGATGGTATAGTCTTTGACCTTCTCGTAGTCCAGCGGGGTAGTGGTCTGCAGGAAGTACTTCTTCTTGCTGTCACTTCCCGTCTCACTGGCCTGGCGTAGCTGGAAGGGCACATCACCTGCCACCACACAGGTGACGGCTGCGTTCTCTCCCTCGTCTCGGTCAGATACCTGCACCAGGGCCACAGCCGTCTCCTCGGCCACATCCTCCGAGATGTTAGCCATCCCATCTTGATGGGTCACCAGCCCTATACCCCGGATCTCAATGCTGGGGGCATTGTCATTCATGTCCTTCACAGTCACCACCACCTGGGCACGGGCACTCTTAGGGTTGGTGCCTCGGTCCTTGGCAAGCACTGAGAAGCGCAGGGTGCTTAGGTCCTCACGGTCCACGGGGCCCTGCACAGTGATAAGTCCAGTATTCCTGTCCAGCCGCAGAAGACGCCTCACAACTTCAGGGGCCTGGTGAAACGTGTAGTCAATCTCTGCGTTGGCACCTTGGTCTGAGTCATTGGCCTTCACCTACAGGGCAGAGGAGAAAGACAAGGGAAAGAAGGCTGGGTTAGTCCAGTGAGAACAAATTAAGGGACGCATGTGCTGCCTTTCCAACAAACATGGCAGGCACACCTATTCTAACACGGCACCCTTTCCAAAATCCACTCACGCACTGCCCTTTCCCAGCAGTGACATTGTGGCAGATAGTTCTGGTCTCTTTCTCCAAGGAGTCTAGATACAGCCTGCAACTCCTCAACTGTGCAGCTGCCATGGGACAGGGTGGAATTAGGCTCTACTTATCATTCCTGTACTAGCCCCCCAGATATAGGGATGAGGATCCATCTAGCAAGTAGTATAGCTATTCCACCTGATTCAAATGGCCTTTAACCATTCTGCAAGCTGGAAAAGTGTGAGCAGTAGAGATGGTATGTATGCATGCACCTGTATGTATAATACACACGCGCATGATTGAGTGAGACTGTATGGTTATCTATGCATGTGTGCATGTGTGTCTGCACATGAGTGGAGACTGACATGCCCACCTGGAGGCCACAGGTAAACGGCTTTTTTTTGAAAGCAGCTAGGTAAGGATGTGGGTCAGAAGGAGCCGCCAGGCCGCTGCTCTGTCAAACTGGGGAAACCTGTTTCAGCAGCTTCTTCCCCTCCCAGCTGGCTGGCTGGCTGGCTGGCTGGCGCTGGCTAGGCACCAACTTGAGGAATCCGGCCGAGCCTGTGGCCAGGAGGGAGGGGTTGGTGCAGGCCACAGAGCCTGCTGGCAGCAGGCTGGGCTCCCAGCATCAAACAATGAACTGTCTGTCCCTTTGCAGTGGGCACGCCCTCCCACGCCAACCCCAACGCACAGTCCGCCCAAATCTACACAAACAAGGGTGGTAATGGGGCAACAGAACCAGGTGGGACTGACCACGAGGTACCAGTGGTCAGGGAGAAACATTTAGGTGGGAGTTATGTCACAGACAGACAGAAGGTGAGGTTCTGGCGGGAGGGGGAGGGTGGGGAAGGCATTATTACTTGGCAGCCGAGTCTCTAGGGAGCAAAGCAAAAGACTCCTAGGTTCAAATCCCAGCTCAGGCACTTCCTCACTAACCCTGTGACCTTGGGCCCATTTGAGGCTTGGGCCACCAACCCAAGCCTCAGTCTAAAAAAATGTGTAAAATGGGGTAATGATAGAACCTATTTTGCAGGGTTGTGGTGAGGATTAAATGGAATAATACATGTAAAAAGGCCTAACACTGTCTGGCACTTGGAAAGTGCTCCCTAAGTGTCATTTTTCTCTCTTTTTATCTATCTGTTCACCCTCCTATCTGTCCATCTCTGAAAATCAGTGTCACTGACCACTGCATCTAGTAGACCTCACGCCACAGCCAGTCTCCCTCCTCTCTGCTGAGACTTCTACACCAGTGGAGATGCCTGAGCAGGGGTTCTCCAAAATGTCACTGTCCATGCTCACCCCTGAGAGCCCCTCCCCCTCCCCAGCCTACTCCCTTTGTCTCTACAGGTCACCAACTTTATGACTGATTCCCGCTGTCTCTAGACTCGGCATCAGCTTCTCATTTGCCTCTCAGCCATCTTATCTCCCTTGTCCCTGTGCTTCTTTGACGCCTGCCTGTTTCTCGTTCACCTCTGTTCTCTGTGTTTCTGCCCTTGTGCCCACTGTCTCCTCTCTCCCGCCCTGGCTACCTCCAGCCTCATCTCTGCCCCATTCTCATGCGTCGTCCCTCTACAATGTGGGGTAACTGCTGCACACAAAGGCTCTGAGGCCAGACTGTTGGGATGTGGCCAAGGTAGGATCTGAACACATCAGTTGGATGATAATAGGCAAGTCACTTGTCTCTATGGGCTCAGTTTCCCATCTGTAAAATGGGGATAATGCTTACCTTGCAGTGTGGGGATTAAGTGATATGATACACATAATGTGTTGAGAACAGTGCCTGGCACCTAGGCTATTATTATTCACCATCTCCGACTGTCTGTCTCCCCTCTCTCAGTCTCTGTTCTGTAGGTTCCAGTCCACCAGCCTCTAAAAAAAGGTTGAAACTCATTCCCGTGCTCCACTTCAGTGTGAGGACCTAAGTGGAAGGGTTTCCCAGGATGGGTAACGGTGTGCAAGGCAGGCTGAACCCTCCTCAGCAAACTCACATCAAAGGCAGATAGCTTCAGCCCATGGGGAAGGAGAAAGGAGCCGGGGCTGGCTGGAAGCCAGGCAGAGATGACAGCGGGAGATACACCCACCAGTCTGCAGGGACGCTTTCTTTGCTCCCTCCCAGGCCTGGGCCCCACCAGGCTGCCCAGCCCCTGGGGCAGTTCCCATGGAGAGGGGTGCTGAGAACTAACAGAGACAACCAACCCCTCCACTGTGCTGGGCACCCCACACTCATGGGCACCCCATGCCTAGGGAGGGAAGCAAGTATATGGATATCTGAGTACAGTTTTCTAGAATTCTGAGGACTCACCTGGCTAAAATGATCTCATTTGACTTTGTCAGGGAGGGGCAAAGTAAAGCTCAGTCCTCCAGCTCCAGGAAATTCTCACCTGGTCATAGGGAACCATCCCTGGCTGGGAAGACATGCTTACCTTGGGAGAGATTCCACTTGGACAAAATTGGCTCCCTTGACTGAGAAAGCTATATTTGACTTGGGAGGCGGTTTTACTTCTCAGGGGTTGTGCCAACTTGATTCTGTCTTGGGAATGGAGGAGATACTGTCCACATGCTATGTTACTGTCATCTAAGTAGCTAGTAGAGGAAGATACTGTCACCTGTAGGGTCAGGGTGGAGGCTTGTGGGAGGTGTCACCTGGCTGGGACAGGGAGAAGAGGTCTCACTGCAGTACCCTGGCAGTTTCTCCCTAAGTGGAGGGTATTTTCACCTCTGGTTGGGATGGGCTTGCGTTTCTAAATGTGCATCACCCTGGGTTAGATAGAGGGGCCTCTCACCTGGATGACCGAGTGGCCTATAGGGCTGTTCTCAGACAGCTCGGCCTCGTATGAGGGGCGCTCGAACTTGGGAGCGTTGTCATTGGTGTCAAGCACGGTGACTCGCAGCAGGGCACTGCTGGCACGTGGAGGACTGCCACCATCCTGCACCTTGATCGTGAGGTCATAGGAATCCCAGCGTTCGCGGTCCAAGTTGCCCATCACAATGAGCTGTGGCTGCTTCTCCTCCTGGTCCTCCGCCACCTGCAGCCCAAACAGCTCCTGGGCCTCAGGCCCGGCTTGCAGCTCATAGGATGCCACACCATTGGGGCCAGCATCGCGATCCGAAGCCAGCGGGATGGGGAAGAGCGAACCGATGTTGGTATTCTCGGGGATGGCCAGAGTGATGACTGGCGAGGCGAAGTTGGGTGTGTTGTCATTGATGTCCTGTACCTCTATCTGGCCTTCGAGCAGCCGGGGACTGCCATTCTGCACGAGGTCCGTGATCGAGACCTCAAACTCCAGGATGCAGGGCTCGCCAGGGACCAGGTACTGGCACTCTCGGAGCCCCTCACGGTCGATAGAGGTCTCAGTTGTGAAGATGTCACCAGTCTTGCCATCCACCCGCAGATACGGGGCGCCTACCTCCAGTTTGTACAGGTGGCCCACATCTGGAAAACCGTAGTCAGCTGCGAGGCTCCCAATGAGTGTGTTGGGCGGCTGTTCCTCTGGAACCTTGTACACTACCCGAGTGGCATGGCCTGGGGATGGAGTCAGCAGGAGCACCAGTGCCAGCAGCAAGGGAGGCAGTAATGACCGTTGCCCCCCAGGGCCTGGGCTGGGCCTCAGGGTCCCCATCCTGGCAGGCTCCAGAATCAGGAGGGCTGCAAGGGGAAGAGGTCAAACAGGTGATCAGCTAGGAGGAGGAACCTGGCCCTGTAGGCTACCCAGAGTCAGCCCCCACTCTCCCTCTCCCACCTACATGCTCCTCTCCTGCCAGGAGGGCTCAGTGGCGGCACAGAAGCCCAAATCTCACCCGCAGCTGGTGTTACAGGAATGGGACAGGTCTTAAGCAGTTCCCGCCCATGGAACGCCCTGACCCGCCTGACACTCCCTCTCCCTCCCAGCTCTCTACTCTGTGCTTTGCCCAACACCTCCTTCTCACCAGCATCCTGCCTTAGTCATCCATGGTAATTACCCTGATACTGAGATAGGAGAGACAGCAAGTGGAAGGGTGAGGTCTCTAGCACCCCACATACCCATGGTAGGAAAGAGTCACAGGTACTCCCTTACGGTCCCCAGGCCCTGGTCTTTACTCGGTTTGGTTGCAGAGGGTCACTCAGTTTGGATGGTGAGAGGGGGCAACATATTATTTTTCTCCATTCGGAGTTCCAAGTCAGGCTATATGCACGAGGTGTGACATTTCAAGTCCCCCTTCTCTGACAGTAATCACTCATTGATGGATGTACCGAATGCCCCCACCCCCTAAATGGCCAGCTGGAATTGGGCACTGATCAAAGCTTTAAAATGGTTAGGGTGGGGAGTTGGCCTTAGTCCTCCCCACCTCCCACCAAACGCATGTGCCCCTGGGCACTGGGGCCAGCCTGCACATACACAGCTCCCCCTCCATTTCCACTAGTGGAGAGGGGATGGCCAGTGTGATGACTGGCGAGGCAAAGTTGGGTGTGTTGTCATTGATGTCCTGTACCTCTATCTGGCCTTCGAGCAGCCGGGGACTGCCTTTCTGCACAGGTGTGTGGAAGAGAGTAGAGGTCAATGCTGGTAGCAGGTCTGACTAGCTCTAGAATTGGTATTGGGAGTGGCCCTGGCTTGTCCTGAGCAACTGGGAACCCAGCAGGTCTAACTGGGACAGAGCTGCTGATGACACCACCAGCCTTTCCCTGACCACTCCTCCCCCGCTGCCCATACTGCATCTGGTCTTTCCATGAACATCCGGTGCCTATTTGATACCTAACCTCATAAACACCTGGGCCCTATTTCACACCTGACTCCTCTCCCATGCAAGCCAGTCCAGTCCTACCTCATACCTGCCTCTCCTGCCAATTTCTTCCAGTTGGAGCCCTGTGCGCCCTAGCCCATCGTAAGCGGCGACCTCCATTATTCCTGTAATCCACTTCTACAGTCCACCTCTTGCAGTTTTGAAGGGGGTACATTTGCAGCCCCCAGCAAGACCTGCTGGCTACTCCCCTAGTGTCGACTCCCTCTCCCTTTCCCTATAAACCCTGGCCAGCTCAGAATTCAAATCCAAAGACTCTGGGCCAGCATTTTCACAGAGTACCTTCCTACTTGCATCGGAACACCTGCTCCAGGCCCCGTCACAGATCACCCCCACCCCCAGTGAAGGCACCCTCTGGCTCCCAGGCCTCTCCAGCCCACGGTGACCTCTCCTTCCTCCAACTCACAGCAGCTTATTGTCTGTCTCAGTCTCGCGGCCATGAATCACTTCTGCCTGGGACACCGCCCGCCTGTGCTGTTAAGCTCTGGTATTGTTACGTATTCCTGTGTTCCCTGCTCCCCAGGCAGACACCAGGCATCTTGAAGGAAGGGACAGGGCCCCCACCACTCACCCTCCAGCTCAGACCCGTGTACAAATTTGGGCATACTGTAGGTGCTCATTTACTGGGCACTCACATTGTGTTGGGCTCTGCCCTGGGCACTGGGAAAACAAGACAGATGCAGTCTGCAGAAGCGGAGCTAACAAGGGCTCTGCTTCAATGGCTATTTGTAGTTTTGTTTGATTGTACCCATTTGGCACTTGATAAGGCAGCAGGATGGAGAACATGGGCTGTGACGTCAGACAGTCTGAGGCAAACCCTAGTTGCCTACTTCCTGGCTGCATGAGCTGAGCAAATGATTTAGAGCCTAGGGTTCCTGCTCTGTAAAATGGGGATAATACTATCTGTTTCCTAGGGAGTGAGAGAGCATGTAGGTCAAATGCTGAGTACTCACCAAATGGTGTCTCCAAGCACTTACAATTGTAGTGATGTAGCTGTCTGAGAAATAATTTGGAAATTGTCTTTCCTACGAGACTGAGGCAAGAGCAGGAGAAGCTCTGCTATGTTTAGTCCTACATCCTCAGGACATCACCCTGGACCCAGCACATAGTAGGCACTTGCTCTAGTTCCTAAAGACTGATGTTAGCTCTCAGGCTTAGCCTATCTGGCACATTCTGTGTGATCTTTGCTTGATCCATTCCCCAGTTCCTCTACTCCATTGAGAACCCACAGAAAGGCCAAATTTACTCCTCTGTTTGGGTTCACAGTAGACACCCAGCAAATGCTCACTAGATGCAGGTTCCTTACACTTCACTTCCTCGGAGTAGTCTCCCCAAGCTCAGCCCCTCCCTGGTCACTCAGCAGCACTACTGTGCTCCGAGTGTGAGGCCATTATCAGATTAGAGTATATGTTTGTTCCCAGCTGCAATCTTAATCTCTTTAAAAGAAGGAGGAATTTATCTGATGTTCCATTTGGATCCACCCTCCAGGCTTCTTCCCCTCTGGCTTTGAGGACTGGACCTGGCAAAGGGCTCATCTCACCACTAGAAGCCCCAACCCCACACCCCCTCAGAGAACCTCATTCCCTGCTGGGCACCTTATCCTGCCCTTCCCCCATAGCACATACCCCACGTTGTGTATACCATTCCCAGTAGGTCACAGAGGATGGGGGTTACAAGGGAGGAGGTGTGAATTACCCTGATCCTCACAAAGAGGAGAATTGTGGGAATGACTGCATGCTTCCCCTCATTCTCTCCAGATGATCAAGGGTTCTTAACCTTTTGGGTCACATCTCCCTTTAAGAAATTTATGAAAATGTGATAGATTTCCCCAGAAAAATTGTTATAGAGCAACCCCGATATTAAACGGGTTCCTGGCTGTGGGTCCTCACCCGCGCGCTTTAAAGGGACTTATGAATACTCTACTACAGACACACGCAAAAGGGTTAATAAAAGGTTTATTTACAAGAGAAAAAGAAATAAGGAAAATGTACAACTCAGGGAGAAAATAGGGAATTAAAGTCTTTAATGCGTCCTACCCGATCCGACGACCTGGAAACCCAAAGTCACTCTCAGAGCTGGCCAGACGCTGCGAGCTGGCCAAGGGCCCCAAAATGGAGAGAGCCCCAAAGCCCACACGTCTGCCTTTTGTATCCACCTGGCTGCTTAACCCCACCCTCCGGTCCCAGCCACCTTCCCTTGGGTGGTGATGGGATGTAGAGTTCCCAGTGTCTTTGGCTTTGGCCTGGGGTGGGGGTGGAGTCCACAAAGCCTGTATGGAATTTGCTTTGGGGCAGCCTTTTCCCCCTAACACTGGGGTGGGGGTGGAGTCCACAAAGCCTGTATGGAATTAGCTTTGGGACAGCCTTTTTCCCCTAACAATATGAAGTTCACAAATTTAGGCTACAAATTTAGGCTACTTCAGAAGTCCATGTTCTATATATTAAGGCCCCACTAGCAGCGACTCCTTTCCAATTTTAGGGTCATAAGCTGGGACTCCTGCCCCTCAGGCCGCCCATGCAGCATAAACACAGCATACTTAGACCTTCCCCAACACACACATATTCTCCCTCATTCATCCTGTCACCTGAGGAGATCTCTTACCTCCAGCCAGCACGGGAGTCAGGAGAGGACAGCGGTAGTCCAACTTCTAAGTTGGAATGAGAACTACAGAGGAATATCCCAGGCAAGGAAAGGGAGAGGAAGGGTGTTCATCAGAGATAGGAGGAGTTGTGGGGGGAATGGAGTTGGGGGTTGCCCAGAGTGGGGAAAAGAGTTGAAGAGCGCTTAGGCCTTCAAGCACCCGGTGAGTGTCTTTACAAAGGGTATTACCTTGCCCCACCCTTTGGAATTCTGATTCTGGGGGTGGGACTATGGGAAACCTCCAGGCAATTGTGTTGCAACGGTCCTGGACCATCTGGGAACCATTCGAGGCACACTAGGTCCGCTTGAATTAAGAAAGAAGTACAAATTCTATCATTATCACCTTTTCCATCATCATCACTGTCATCACTCATCATCATCCCAGCTAACATCCCTGAGACCTTACTACATTTACATACATTATCTCATTTAATTTTCTCAGCCCTCTGAAACAGGTACTATGTATTATTACCCTGTTCCCCATAGTACAGATGATAGAACTGAGGCTCAAAAAGAGTAATAAATTGTCTTTAGGTCAGAGAAAAGTAGGTGCAAGAGTCACGACTTATGAAGTAAAATGCCTCTTCACATCCCAGAGGCTGGGAGAAAGGCTGGATGGGGAGAAGGGAAACCAATCGAATATGATATTTACTATGTACCTGTGACCCCTCTCCCATACACACACATACCCCATTCCTGGGCTGCCAAACCTGCCTGGCAAGCGGGGGAAGAGAAAGAAGAGCCTAGAGCAGGGGCTGATCAGCCTGAGGCCCCCAGGCCCCAGAGGCTACTGTTGCCCTTCTCTCTATCCCAGGCTTCTAGGGATACAGGGAATTCAGAACAGTCAGGGCCAGCAGTGAGGAGAGCCCTGCCCCCACCATCCCTGAACTTTGCCCGGTAGTTCGTTATTGGGAGTCATTAGTCCCAGACAGCCGCCTTTGAAGTTATTGGCGCCTTATCTGTCCTTTCCCGGGCACTTGCTGCTTTCCTGGCAAGGGTGTCCCCTCTGCCCAGTGACACAGGCACCGAGGACCCTGAGAAATCAAAGCTTTACTTCATAGGGAGTCGTAAGAGAGCAGAGTCCAGGGAAGGCTAAGGAAAACACCATCTGTGTCAATATCTGGAGAAAGCAGAGAACAGTGAGGGTTTGCCGGGCACCTTCATTTCCAGTCTACCTCAGGGACCAGGGTCATCTTCCTGCTGAATGCTGTGACCAGAGAGTAAACACTAGAAGCAGCCATGTCTATCACAGTCACCAGGTCAGCTCTGATCCCTCACCCTCACCCCTGCACTGTTACACAATAGCCACCGCCACCAGGGGCACAAAATACTAAGGGACATAGATCCTGTTTGGGATGTGGGGTAGAGAGATTCAGAGGCCTCCCACCGTGAATGAGTGTGCAGCCCTCAACTCCTCTGCCACAATCTCCCATTAGCCTCTGCAGGACTTCCAGGCACCTACAGTCCTGAGTCAGTCTGTTGAGGTTCAAACCCTTGCTCCACCACCGGCCAGCTGTGTGACCTTGGCCAAGTGACTTAACCATTCTGAACCCGTTTCCATACTATGAAATGGAAATAATCCTGCCTCTGATGTTATTTGGGAGGATTAAATGCAATCTGATGCATTAGGGTCCATTACATGGTAAAGGACAGATGTGTATATCATTCAATCATGGAACAGAGCATTTTATTTTCAGCATCAGGCACGCAGTAGGTGTTCTTTGATTCAACAAATAAACCCATATTCTGCCACCTGGGAAGAGCTGTGAAGGCAAGGACCCTTGAATCTTACTGCTGTACTACATCCACACCACCTACCATGAGCCCTTGCAGTTAGTAGGCCCTCAATATAGATGTGGAAGGAATCTCTCCAGCACCATCTCTCCTTGCTCATGGGAACTCCCTCATAATTGAAGCGCCTCTTCCTTCCCCCTCGGTCCTTCAGCCCCTCCCCCATCCTTGCAGGCCTGCTCCTGGCCCTTTCACTCCACTCTTCCCCAGATTGTCTCTGTCCAGCCCACCTCCTCCTCCAAGTAGCCATAGCAGCCCAGAGGATGCCAGACCAGCAAGACACCCCTTTCTAGCTGAAGTTCCTTTTGGAATTGCGGGGAGGAAGCTGGGGGGGGTGGAAAGAGGAGGCCTAAACATGGCCAATAATAAAACCGGACCTGCTCAGTTACCATACTGTCCCTGGCCATCTCTGGAGGTCCTTCTCAATCCTCTTCCCAGGATTCCACGCCATGCCCTGGTCTAGTTGTAATTACAGATTTCAATTCTCCTAGACCCCTATGGCAAGAAGGTAATACCCGGCACTCCTCTACCTCCAGGCCTCTGGGTTGCCACATTCACTCTCAGAGTACCCTCTTTCCTGACAGCTACCTAGGGTTGGGCCCAGGGCAGTTAATGGAAGGCTCCCTGCATCTACCAGTACTAAGTCCTGGGCTCTTGCATCTACCAGTACTAAGTCCTGGGCTCTGCACGGTCTACACCGCGGTGGTCAGCGGGCGCTCCCTGTACAAACGCGACGCGGGAGTGGAGGGGTGGTAAGGTGTGGGGTTGGGATGGGGGAAGTGGGGTGGAACAGCAGCTATTTCTCCACAGCTAGTTCTCAGGCTCAGGGTGGCCCCACCCCTCCCCCCACCGGCGGCGCCGAGTCTCGGGGGCTCCAGGTTAGGAGGGGGGCGCGGTGCAGTGAGAACACGCCTCGGCCAGCGGGTCCCTTTCACGCCCGGTCCTACGAACTGCCGCGGGGAATCCCTCCTCCTCCGCATCTCAGGCCTCAGCCTAGGGTCCCCAGCAATCGGGCGTCGGCAGGGAGCCGCGCAGCGGACGCCAGGAGGCGGCGGGGAGGGAGCCGGCGCCGGAATCACAAAGCAAGCCCCGCCGGGAAGGGACATTCTCTTAAAACCAACGCTCTCGCGGTGGACAGAAAAGGGGTCTTTGCCCCGGACTCAATCCTCAAAGACCTCAACATGACCCCGGATATTTTCTGCCGGAAAGAATGGTCACCGATCACTGTTGGAGAAACTGAGGCCAGAGGTCTGGGCTACCGAGGGTAACTGGGGGAAAAGGGTGCGAGTTTAATCTGGCCTACCAATTTTGCTCCCGTTCGTGCCGTGATCTTCCTTCTGGCCCCAGGGCCTTGCCCATGCACTCGATTGGGGCCTGCAGTCGGGACCCCGTTGAGGGGGCTCCCAGGTGTGTGAGACACAGGTGTGCGGGGCCCAGGTGTGCTGGGAACCCAGGTGTGTTGGGGAACCTTAGCAAAAACGGTCCAAAGAGGGTCGCGAGCACCGCTCCAAGCTTGCACCCTCTGCAAAGGGACATAAATCCCTGGAGCCCCAGGGAGCCGGGATGGCGGGCCTGCCAGGTCCAGCTGGTTCCGGGAATACCCGGCCGGCACGGCCCCGGAGTGGGGGTGGGGGAGGCGCCAGCCTGGAAGCCGGTCCGGCGGGCCCCCAGGGTTCCGCGGATATTTACAATAACAATGTCGTGATTAAGGTGAGGGGGCGCTAGGGGCTGGCTCGGAGGCCCCGGCCGCTTCCCCTTCAGGAATCTGCCCACCGAGGGGGAGGAACTGCGTGTGTGTATGTGTGTGTGTGTGTATGTGTGTGTATACTGCAAGGTGTAATGTGACACTGTTGGTGTAAGGTGTGTGTGACACCCAGTGCTGAAACGTGTGAAGCAATGGATTCTGTTTATGATAGAGAGGCGCTGCTGTAGGTGCCACTTTCTGTGTTAGGGTGTGTGCCGTCAAGCATGTGCTGAGACACTGGGTTGTGTGTTTATGTGGGTGCAGTTGAGCGGTGCACACGAGACCTGTATTGTGTACCTCGCTTCTGGCCAAGGAGTATGGTAGGGTGTGTTCCTTAAAAGAATATATGAGAGCCTAGGTTTTCAGGGTACGTCTGGCTAGCGATGGCCTGAACCTTCTTACATGAGGGCATGGGGCTGTTTGTATTCCCGTGTCGCAAATGTCACGCCCGGCTGTGTTTTGTTGCTCTAGCCATGGGATGTGCGTCCGTGCTGCTGACCGTGCAGACGCTGAAACGGATTCTGAGCTAGTGCCGGTGCCCCAGTGGACGCTGGTGTGCGGGAGGTATGTGTGTGCACATATGTACGGATTTATGTATGCGCGTACATATGTCAGTGGTCTGGCCCTCCGTGTGCCCGCAGGGAACTAAAAGCGCCCGAGTGATCCGAGCTGGTCGCCCAACAAGTGTGTGTGTGTGTGTGTGTGTGTGTGTGCCCGCGCGCGCGCGTTCGCTGGGGATGCGGGTCCTTGCTGGCTTCGTCCTCAGGGGGCCCGCACCACCACCATCAAACTGGGTACTGCGCGTTTTCCCCGAACCATTTCCATCCCGCGCGATCCAGGGTCCCCTTCCCCCGCCGCTCCCAGCGTCCCGGGTGCGGGACGCCGAGGCTGGGGTCCGTCCGGTACCCCTCTCCTCGATCGGCTTCTACCTGCGGGCCTTGGAGGCCAGGGTGGCCCGGCCACAACCCCTACTCGGAGATCCCAGGCGCCCCCACCTCAGCCCCCGCGCCCCGAGGGGGCCCCTGGGCCGCGCTCCGCCGAGCGCCCCTCCCTCAGCTCCCGCCGGCTATGGCCGCTCGGGGCCGGGAGCCGCCGCCGGATCCTTACCCGCCTCGGGGCAGCGCCGGCCGCCCGCCCCGCTGTCCATGAGCCACCACCGGCCCCGGCCCGGGCTGCGGCTCCGCACCGCTCGGGCTGGCGCTGCGGTTCAGGCTCCGGCTCCGGCTGGCTCTGGGCGCAGCAGCCCCGGCGGCTTCGTGTCCGCGCCGCGCTCCCGCTCCCCGAGTGTGTGAGGCGGCGGAGCCGGGCGGCGGCGGAGCCAGCAGCGAGCGGAGCGCACAGCCCGGCCCGCCCCCTCCCTCCCCCTCCCTCCTGGCCCGCCCGCTCGCCTCCCGCCCGCCTCCCCACCCCCCTCGCGGCCGGGAGGAGGAGCTCGCGATTGCTCAGGTCCCGCTGGGAGGGGACCCCGACTCCGTTCCCCAAAGCTAGGACGCCCCCCTGCTAGCGCCCCACTACTCGCGTCCGGAGACACAGTCCGTCCTCCTCCCTGTCACTTCACCTTGCACTTACCCACCCCGGCCGCCTTCTGGGACCCCTCCCGAAGTCCCCTCCTAACCTCGCTGAGACACCTGGCCCCTTCCCTGCCCCTGGGAAGTCGAGGTAGGCCATGGTCTCCCCCAGTGCCTTCTCCCCTGAGCACCTGCCCAGGCCCCCGGGTCACACCGCGCGGTCCTCCCGCCGCGCTCCGGGGAAGTCTACCCCTCCCCCCGCGAAGCCGCAGCGCGGTCAGCCTCGGTGGCCGCAGCGAGTCGTGGGGGTGGAGTTATGGAGGAGACCGGTGGGGGGGGGGTAAGGGGACCCAGAGGCTCCTCTAGAATGGAGATGGGGAAATGTACATGTGTCAGAGTGAGGTTACGCTTGGAGCTTGGGCTATTCTAGGGCCCCCCAATCACCTGGCCTCGGAGGAGCAGAGAGCTGCGCCCCCACTCATTTATCAGTGACACACACACATTCACACGGAGTCACACGGGTCCCTGCCCCGAGGGGCGTGCAGTGTCACGGCCTGTGTCACACGCCCTCGCAGTGCCACACACTCCCTCTCACACTCACTCTCCCCGAGTCACACACGGTGGCACACGCAGTGGCTCGCATATTCAGTCTCGGTTTCTCCCGCTCAGCTCTGGCTCTCTGGCGCCATCTAGAGGCCGCTTCGCAACTTGGGAACTCCCTTTCCTGCCTTCTGGCTTTGGTACCCCAGGTTCCCAAATACCCCACTTCAGCAGGACCTCTAGCTCTAGGCACTTATATGGTAGGCAGGGTATTCTGGGTCAGGGAAACGGGGAAGGCTATCTCTGGGAAGGCCTGGCGCTGGGTGTGGAAGGAGCAATCATGGGATGACTGATTCCGGTTTCCATTTGCCATAGGGTCTGCCTCCTTATCCTCCCATGTTTTCCCCTTCCTGTCACTCTTCTATCACTTGTCTTCCTCCTGCTTCCTCCCCTTCTCATTCTAGATCTCTCTACTTGCTAACACTCCTCGAGGAAAGGGTGAGATCTCTGACCATCTAAGGGACAAGCTAGGTCTTCCCGACATCTCTCCCAGAGCAGCCCCCCTCAACCTGGCTTCCTTTTAGCATGGGCCTTACTCTGGTTCACCCCCAGCCCTCAGTCCCGGGAGCCCAGATGGAGGGGTCAGGAGGGGAGATAGGGTAAGATACTAGAAGGAGCATCTGTCCTCTAAGTGGCTCCTCTGTGCCCTGCAAAACTCATACTCTCCCCATCACTGAGCACAGTTCCAAGGAAGGAATCAGTGGCCCAGAGAGAAGAAATCTTCCACAGAGGAGCTGCCCCAGCCTCCCTGCCCCCAGCGTGTGCCTGCTGCCCACTGCAGCAAACCCTCCCCGGTCTGCTTTTGCTGGGAGCCATTCAAAGGCTCCTCTGTTCTCCTCCCTTGCTCAGGGCTGAGCAAGATAGGCAGCCGCAGAGCTGGGCAGGAAATGCTAATCTCCCAGATGTTCTCCTTCGTCCTCCCTGCTCCACCACCATCAAACCCAAATCCTGCACCAAGTGATAGGAGCAGAAGGGGGACTGGGCACCACCTTTGTGTTCCTCTTCTTTCTCCCTATGCTATCCTATTCCAGCTTCCAGACTGTGAGGAACCTAAGCCTGGGGCAATGCAGATAATGGGAATGGTGGTCTTCCTCAGGAAGGAGGGCTGGCAAGAGAGCAGGGGCTCAGAGGAGGATGTTTGGGGAGTAAGGAAGGTGGAATCTGAAAAAGAGAAGCCAGGTTCCTGGCCCTGGACCAAACCAGGAAGAGGACCTGGATATGGCAAGTAAAGCATTGAGAAGCTCCTGAAACTGATGAGATTCCAGCAGCCTGTAGCCAGTGACTGGAACCTGGGGTATTCTAGGTGTGGCAGTAGTTGGGAGTCTTGTACCCGAAGGCTCTTGTTGTAGTCTATGCAGACCTGGGATGGGCTATAGCTAAAGGGACTAGGATGCTTGTAGGTCCTGGCACTGTAACAGAAATGCTCTTGCCTTTGATTTAGCTGAGACACTGTTGCAATACTCTGAGGCTGGTGTGCTAGGCTATAGCCACAACAATCAGATTACCAGAGGCTGTTGCCAAGGGTGTGTGTGTGTGTGTGTGTGTGTGTGTGTGTGTGTGTTCCTGTGTGCATTTTAAGGGAAGGGCTGTAACTGAAATGCTATTGACCCTGAAGCTATAGGTTTGAGGTTGGCACACCTGAGCTAGCTCTAACTGAGAAGCTGTTCTCTGTTAATATGACGTAGGTGGGGCTGTAGCTGGATCTAGTTCCTAGGAGATAAGCGGCTGTTGCTAGGAGTCTGTACCTGGGAGGCAGGCTGTTACCTGGGATCAGAGCAGAGCTACTGTTGTATACAGGACTGTAGCTGGGATGCTATTGGTCCTGAAGCTATAGCTGTGATGACAGTGTAGCAGGGATTGGTTATAGCTAAGATGCTATTGCCCAGGCTTGTGGCTGGGCTGTTACTGTGTGCAGGACTCTAGCTGAAATGCTGTTATGCCTGCAGACATAGCTCTGAAGCTCGAGTATAGCTGGGAGACCATTTCCTGGTAATATAGCTGGATTACTGTTGTGGGGGGGCCATAGCCCAGACTCTGTAGCCTAGGAGATGAGAGGCTGTTCCCTGGGATGCTGTTCTGGGAGACAAGATGCTACCTGAGATGGTAGCTGATTTGCTGTTGGAGCTGGTCTACTGTGGTGCTTGGGTTGTTCCCGAGTGGCTGTTGCTCAGTCTGTGGCTGGCTGGGTGGGGGAAGGCAAGTGAGTTCTGCCTTGAGGTCTGGGAGATGCCTTGAGGAGCCCAAGGCTGGGCGGGGGCTGCTGCTCTGGGGAGGCTTCAGCAGCTGCTCTGCTGTGGAGCTGGGAAGCCTGTTTTCATTACTGTTTTAACTCTTTTTTTAACCTTGTTTTTCTCTCGGCTGCACTTTCGCTCACTCATTAATTTTGGTATTTTTCTCACGGTGCCTCAGCCCCTGTCACGGCTGCCATGGCAACAGGAGGCAGTGTGCACAGTGCCAAAATATCTGATCAAAAAATAACCAAAATAAGCAAACACCAAAACGGCTGCGCTGGGGGCTATGGCTGAAGGAAAGCCAATGGCTCTAGTCCAGGAAGCCCTAGGCTCCCAAGGGACCCCTTTCACTCCCCCCTTTTCCCCAGAGAAGCTTTGCTGAACCTTCTGATAACCTCGGAGGTCCCTATCCAAGGGACCCTCAGGACACGTCCTCCCAGGACTCAGATTTTCAACTGTCCCTGCCAGGAGGCAGGTTTGTCTGAGGTAGGAGCTTTGGAAGGGTATGGGTATGAGGACCAGGGCTCCCTTCCTAGGAGCCAACAGTCAAGTATCTAAGCAGCTCCCCACCTGCCAGAGCTGCACACATCTGCACCCACCCACCCACCTACCCCTCGCCTGACTCCTCCCTCCTTAGTCTTCCTCAGCCTTCTCTGCTCTCAACCCCTGCTTGGCCACCTCCACTTTCTTCTTTTCATACCCAACATTCTGACAGGCTGAACAGAGGGTAGAAATCTGCAGCCTCCAGGCCTACCCTCCAAATTTTCAGGGGAGGGGCATGCCACAACTAACATTCCAATGTCCAATTTCAATGTCTCTGGCCACCCTGAGTTCTATCTGCCTAGGAGACAGTCCTAAACAGACCACACCACACCCCTCTAAATTCTCCTCCTATTTCCAAGGAGTCTTCTAGGTCTTGGGGCCCTTCTCTCAAACAGGCATGTCCCCTGGAGAGTAAAAGAATAGAGCTTCATGGGAAGGAGGAAGGGGCAGCCTTCTGAGTACTACCTGTCTCCCTTCCTTCCTTCCCCATGAATTTCCTCTCGAAGGGGTTTGTCTAGATGTCTGGAGCACTGAGAACTGGAGGAACCAACAGGAGCCTCTCTGCCCCAATCACATCACACAATTACATCTCTAGCCCCTCTTCCACATGCCCCCTACCCCCATAGCAGGAGTCTCCCTCCCAACTGGTTTCAGTCCCCTTCTAGGAATAGCTAGTACTTACCTCCTGCTCCTTACTTTCAATTCCTATTCCCCCCCTCCCCCACAGAGCTGTAGTGGCCTTGGCCTCCTGGCAGAGCCTTCCTGGGCCTGTTTCCATAGAAACCGGGTAGTCTCTGTAATGCAGGAAGGGGAGGGAAGAAGGGAGCAGGAAGGAGGGACCAGACCTCAGGGACAGCCCCAGAAAGGGGGACTTGGGCACTGAGAAGAGAAGGGAAACTGGTCCACTCAAAGAGAGGGTGGGACCTTGATTGGGGGGGGGGTGAGAGTGGAGGGTTGAAGGAAGAGGGGAGAGAGGAGGTAGCAAAAGAGAAACAGGTTCTGTCCTCATGCAGCTTCTTGGCTACCTCCTGAGGGGACACACACTGTCTCTTCACCTCTGGTAGAGAGAGGGGGGTTCCACTCCCCCCAAAATCCTTTACCAAGAAATGCCTGACTGGGGATGAATGTCTTTCCCAAAAGTCACCTCTCTCTAAGACTCGAACCATAGTATACCTTCCCTCCCCCAGGAGCTCCCCCACTTGTCCCAGCCCACTGGCTCTGTGCTCTGGAGGCTGGGCAGCCCCAGGGACCCAGTGGCCGCTGCTGACCCTATGGCGTGCAGTTCTCAAAGGCCCCATTCATCTCTGGGGGCTGAAGGCACCATTGTCCCCAGAGGGGGGTGGTGGGGCTGGAGGGGGTCTCCAGTCAGAAGAAAGGAATGTGTCTGGTGAAGTTGCCCCAGGGCTCA